GACAATGCTTGTTTATGGAGAACTGGATAAAGAAAGAACGGTTAAATAAAATTTCTAATTTAGAAACAAACTGGTTAATGTCCTGCAGAGTAATAAAAATGTAACCTGCAGGATTATCTTTTCTACAAAAATTATTCCCATCTTTACCCGATAAAAATTTACCTGTATTATTGTGTGACAGGAATCATTTAATGGCTATCAGTTTTAAAAACAAAATGAGCATCTACTACTAACCAATAGTAAATATCCTACCCAATCATAAATAGCAAGTGGAACAAAGGCACACACTTTTGGAGAATTAGTCATCTGCCAGGTAGGCCTGATTCACAGTCTGCCCAGGAGAACACTGAAAGGACAAGCAATGGTACCCTTTGCCTCTTTCCAAGCTTTGATAAATTTCTTAACTATTTCACAGGGGAAACTGTTTTTAGAGCCTACTTAAGACTGCTGAAAGAAATACGAAGGCTTCAGTGGCTTTGTTTTTGTGATTTTTTATTTCTATAGAATCGTGTCTGTGTAAGCACTGCAGAGTGCCTGAAAGCGTAGCTGGTAAAGAACTAGTTTGGGAGACGCAATCTTGAACTTTATTTTTCTTTTGATTATTCTCAGAAGTAAGTCAGGCAGGTTTGAGCTGGTTAAAGTCCAATGAAGAATAAGCAGCTTATCATGCAGAGAAACTGGGCAGACTTTTGTGATAAAGGTTAGCAAAACTTCATTAAAATTATAAAGTGGTGATAATTTTGGCTATCATGTTTTGGGAAGTGTCTTTTATTGCCCTGTTCATTCCTGTTTTCCAACATTATAGAGGTCGCTGTTTGCATCTCAGGATAGTGATAAAATGATTGATAGAAATCGCTAGCAGTTCAGTAAGTCTCTGCTCTTAAAATAATGAACTTTAGGATTAGCAGCAACACCAGGACTTTTTGTCCCTCACCCCAAATCAAACGCTCAGCTGACACTCTGAGACTGTTAAGACAAATCTTCAGTCAAGTCTCTAAAACACGTAATTTCTGAATGTGCTTGTTCTATAATAACATATTCTCTTTCTTTTAAACTTCATCTTAAAGCGACATAGTTGTAGAGTCCAAGTTCATCTACAGTTGAGAAAAGCATGAATCCGAGGCTGAGCTCCTGATGATTTTTGCTGTGTCTGCAAGTAAACCCATTCAATCAGCAAAGACTTAAGAGAGACATCAGTAGGAAGTTTCATACAAGGCATCGATGTTTTCTTTCTTTCCTAGAGGCTTAGGGTTATACAACCGGGCATAAAAACTCAAGCTATCATGAAGGCCTTTTTAGCTACTTAAATTCCCCCAAAATGTGAATAGCAAAGAAATAATTGTTTTTAAGAAAGTATTTTAATGTTTAGTTATTGTGCATATGTGGGACGTGCCCAACCTTTTTCTTTTCTTTTTCTGGCACTCTATGTTTAGAATTTCATGCAAATAATTGTTGCTGGCATTTTGTGAAACATTCAGGGTAACAGGAAAGTGTCACAATAAAGGAAATTTTGCAAATCTTTCCTAATATTTTTGTGCTATATTTAATCTTAGAAATTCAAATATCATTTAGTCATCATTTCCAACATTCTCAATATAGCTGCTTCAAATAACATCTGGCTATATGCTGCTTGCCACTTATTTCATTTATTATTTTTTCATATTATATATGTTCACATAGGACTTTTATTTTCATATCTGACCTTACCTCTATAATTCCTCAACATAACTAACACTATGGTTTCTAATTGTTGCTCAATGTAAAGCAATAACCACACAAATTTCTATAAGGCCAAGCAAAAAAAGAACCAGAAAAATCCTTGCTATAGTTTTATTTTCTGCTTTAAATAATAAAATAAATTGATGAGAATGTATATCATTGTTCTACAGAAGAGGTGAACTTTCAGTTCATTGTTGGTGAATATTCTCTGTATATTTTTTCCTGTGCAAAATTCACCAGGAAAAAAAATAGTTTGTGGCAGCTATGATTTCACCTTTAATTAAACAGAAATTACATAGTTTATTAGATAATTAATCTTCCAAGAATGAACACTGCTTTTTCCCTAAGCATCTTTTCACTTTTATAGAACTGAGCAAAAACAACTCAGCAATCTAAAATTAAGCACCTTTAGTGAATACAGATTAAACATTCATTGTACACATATATGTTGAGTTTGTTTTAAAAAAAAACAAACCAACATACTTGGAAAATAACAGTTTCTTAATGTATGATTGAAGTGCACATCTGGGGACTTTTAAAAAACTGATGATTATTATGCCTTCCACATTTACACTGGTACTTCAGTTCCAGGGGAAATATGATGGTGATGGCACACATGCACTTTCTGTTGAGATGGGACCATGCCTGGATTTATTATATGCCTAATGACATATTCATAAGTGAATACCACAAATTAGGTTAAAACTCTAGTGAATTTATAATGGGGATTTTCAGCCTTTAATCTTTTTCATGCAAATGACCTGAGTGTCCTTGATATGGGTTAAATTGACTAAATTTAAGGGCACAGAAGTGCGTCTACCTATGTTTCTAACCCATAGAGGATGTAGACAAAACTACTGTTACCAGATGCATCTTATAAGAGCACTTCATCAATTCATTCCACTAACATTCTTGTTAGCCTAACAGGTGCCATGTATTATACTAGGGACTTGATATGATACCTCAAGAAATAAGATAAAATTTCTGCACTCATATATATTTCAGAGTGTACTAGCGAGAGGGTTTCATTAGTACATCATTAAAACACAGGATGTAGCTATAGTGGAAACATATAAACCATTTTATGGGAATCCCAAACAACATGGAACCAAGTTTCTTGTTCTAGGTTGGCACGGATTTCCTGAGGAAGGAACATTTGACTGGTGTCTTGAAAGAATAGTAGGAGTCAATCAAGCAGACCAGAAGGGATTGGCAGTTGTGATATTGTAATTTATAACAAGAAATATATATTTGGTCTTCATCTGTTTCTGGCACAGAGCTCCAAAAACTCTTAGAATTTCCTAAGTGATGAGAGCAATAAAGGTGTCTTTTGTTTTGTTAATGAGGTGACTTTTAGATCCCCATCTAAGATGGAGTTGGTTGCCAGGGGAACTAATCTCGTGATGAGAGGGTTGGAACTTTCAGTCCCACCTCCAGACCTCTGGGGAGGGGAAAGGGGCTGGAGGTCGAATGAATCACCGATGACCATGATTTAATCAATCATGTCTACATAATGAAGCCTCCATAAAACCCCAAAAGGACATGGTTCAGAGAGTTCCAGGTTGGTGAACATGTGGAGATGTGGGGAAAGTGGCATGCCAGGAGAGGGCATGGAAGCTCCACACCATTTCCCCATACCTTGCCCTATGCATCTCTTTCATCTGACTGTTTCTAAGTTATAACAGTTAAATCTAGGAACTAAAATGTTTCTTTGAGTTCTGTGAGCCACTCTAGCAAATTAATCCAAACCAAGAAGGATGTCATGGGAATCTCTGATTTATAAACAGTTGGTCAGAAGTACAGAAAACAACCTGGATTTACAAACAACATTTGAAGTGAGTGGGGTGGGGGCAGTCTTGTAGGACTGAACTCTTAACCTGTGGAATCTGATGCTATCTTGGGGTTGATAGTGTCGCAGTTGAGTTGAGTTGGAGGGCACCCAGTTGGTGTCCAGAGAATTGCTTGTTGGTGTGAGGAAGCCTCCAGACATGCACATGTAGGGATTGGGTCCAGGAACCCAAAAGAGCAGTCCAGGTCAAGGTTCTAATATACCCACAGGAACAGTGGCATGGAAGAATATGGTGGATTTGGGAAATCATAAAATAAATATAACTGAAGCATAAGGGGCCTGCAGAAGAATGATAGGCATCAGGTCTAAGGTCACCAAGGACCATATTCTTTGGTAGTTTGGACTGTATACTCTACACCCTAAGAGGAAGGGATGACTCTGCAAGGAGATTGCTTTATGAATCCCTGTCCTGTCTATCTTACCTGCAGATAGTCAATCCAGAGAGAAAGTTAACAATATGTTCTGGAATTACCGAGATCTTTTTGTTGTACTTGTTCTCTATATGTGTTTTTAAGTAATAGTGTTTAAAGACTTTGGGTGGTGATTCATCTAATAAAGCCAGAAGCCATTCTTTTAGTATTCTTTCAGTTTCTTAGAAATATCATTGCCCACGCTTATTGATATTCCACATATTTGCTCAGCCCCTCTAATTAGTTTCATCTGGCAGTATTAATCATTTTATAGAAAAAGAAAACATTGTTGTGCTATACTCATAACTCCCTGCTGTCTTCAAGTCCTAATCATGCAAAGAGGGAAGGAGAGAAAGAGGTCTGGAGACTCTCTTCAGAGTGGGGACCTTTCTCCGGGATTCATTTACTTCAAGTCAACCAACCTTTTAAAAGCCCTTTGAAAATATAGATGTTTTCACAGATGTGATGAAGTTGTTCTTTTACAATATAAAAAGCATATATTTCATATTTTTCATTATTCACTAATTTATAAAATTTCTGTAATTGCATTAAATCTCATTTTATGTCAATAAACATTAGTTGAATGGAACTCCCTAGTTTTATTTTTCTATATAGTTAGGATAGGTGATATTTTTAAGAGTTTTCTAATTATAATTGCTTTTAATTAAAATTAAGTATTCCATCATTACATTTTTTGCTTTTGCTTTAATCTATAAACTTTCCTTAATTTCCACCTATCAATCACTCAAATCTAAGATCTTGTCTACTGGAACTAGAATCTAAAATAATGGTAATGTATAAGAATTGCTGATAAAAATATAAAATTCTATATTTCACAAATTTTTCTATTCAAGAAATATAAGCAAAATCATGTCTGTATTTTTCCTTCCTAATTGTCAATGTCTTCCTTTCCCAATGTGCACTGCATCTGAAGTCAGAAGTTAACATAAATTATACTATGCTAGATTTATGTGATTTAGAAAAATAAAAACACCAAACTACTTTGATCTGTTTACTTGCAGAGAGCCATATCCTAGAAGATGTCAACAAATGTATTGTAGCCTTGAGAGACCTGGATGCTGATAATTTAGACCGTGCTGCAGGTGCTATCAGAGGACGGGCAGCAAGAGTTGCTCACATTGTCACAGGTGAAATGGACAGTTACGAGCCGGGGGCTTACACTGAAGGTGTGATGAGGAATGTTAACTTCCTTACGAGTACCGGTAAGTCTCAGTCCCCAGTTACAGCTGCACTGTTCCTGACATTTCAATCTATATAGCTACCAAATATCCAGACATATGGAAAGAAGATCTCGGTCTGTGTTGCTTGTTTCGAAGTGGATTGCTCTACTGTCTGACAGATGCTTGCATCCTGTGGTTATGTGATTTGAAATTTATCTCTGAGAAATAAATATACTCATTGGGGAAAAGAAATCCTTTATAAATATATGCATTATATAAATTGCCCACAGGCTTTAGCCATTTATGAATGTTTATTAATGCCAGAGCTGTTAGGAGATATAATTAGTCCAGATGTGGTAAGTATGTAATAGTTTCCAAACCCTCTTTTAGCTGTGTCGTTGGTCGCCCAGGTTTTTGTTTACATTACTTAAACAGAGTAAACTTGTCCTGTGTTTCCAGAGAAATACTCTTTACTTTTGTTGGCAGTCTATTTGCAAAACAACAATTTGTTCTTTCACATGATCTTCTTTGATTACTTAAGAAATATGGAACCAGGGTTTTGTTTTGGTTGTAGCACTCAAGTTAATATTTTCTAAAATCAACTAGTAAATTTTTAGTTTTCGAATCAGTCGGTAAAATGCATTCTTATCCTTAACACTGTTATTGGCATTTCTCCAAAAAACTTACAGAAGCATGTGACTTCATGTGGATTCAGAAATAATGGATATAATTTGAATGAGGGCAATCAACTATTTTTGTAAGTCATCATGGTAGAGCTTTTTCCTGTGAAAACCCCTTGTGATCTGTGAAATCTCCAGGTTGAATTTTTCTTACTAATTACCTCTTAACACTAGGGTGACAGTGCACCCATGTTTCCTAAAACGTTTGAAACGCCATACTTAAATTGTTCATCCTACCTAGAGAATTGTTATGTTATGCATAGGGCACATTAAATTTGGATGATATGTACATTATTTAGTGAAAGGAGTCGAAGAGAGGAGGATGGGTGATTTGGAGTGGGGAGGAAGCAGTTCCTTGAAATTAAGAGAAACATATCAACAGTTGAGAAACCTGCCCTAGGGACTAGTTCTGAAAAGATATACCGCAAGGCAAGCCTAGTGAGGTTTGTAGAGAATTGATAATTAGTGTTGCTGTCTTCCTAGCATGTTGATACAGAAAATCAGTGATGAATCTTGGCACATAGTTTGCTCATCACCTCTTTAAAAATATTCCTAAAATAATGAAACACTAAAGATATGCTAAGGAAAGATGGAGTAGGAGCATCTACAACTCTACACATTATATTTCTTTAACAACTTCTCAAAAGCCACTGTTGTCACAAATAGGACAACATGGAAGTTGCTTTAACAATGAGGTATGGCAATATATTTACTTGCTTAAGGAGATGCTGTGTTATGATAGTCCAGCATCTCTTCCCTAAACTAAATTTAACTGTTCCTTTCTCTTTGGTCAAAATCAAGTACAGAGTTATTTTTTTCTACCTTCTGAGAATGAAATTTAAGTAAGAGAAGAATGAATCAAGGTTCTCTTTTTAGCCAAATGAAAATTTCTTGTAAGAAATTGAATAGGTAAAGTCTACCAGGATTTGCCTCTGTCTCAGTTTTGTAATCATATTAGTAATATCTTGCAAACATACTCTTATGGTCACAGTGTCTGTATAAGGTACTAAGTGTACGCTTTTATTCTCTATATGATAGAGTCCATATCTGCCACATGCAAAAAAGTGAAAGTGAAATTCTAAAGTGTCCAGAATGTGAACTGTGTTGTTCAGTCTGTTAACAATCAATCCTTATAATCTGAAATCAGAAAATAAAAATGAAACAAAGTTGTTTACACGTTTAATTACAAGTTTGTCAATAACTCTATGATATATAATGACCTTACAAGATAACTAACCAATATGGCTACATAATCATTCAATCAGAAGAGCGAGAAGTCCTTTTTCCTCTAATTAGTTGCATGTAACTTTAATTAAAATTCTCCAGGTAAATTATGTCCTGTGCCCTAAATATAATAAATATAGAGTAATCCTGGGTTATTCTGTATTTCACATCTTATTATTAACATAACAATATAGTTTATGACTTTGCAATTTTGTCATTTTAGCTTTTCAGATAATTTTTTGGCTTATCTTTGGAGAAAGCTTCTCGTTTTGGTTTTATATGTCTAATTCCAAACTTTTCTCCAAACAGATCTCCCTAAAATTTATCAAAAGCATGCCTCACTAAAGGGAATTCTGAGCAATAAATTAGATGAAAATGCTAATTAGATCAGTTTGATCTTAACCAAGGCTGAAATATGTGAGCATTTTCTCTCCCATAGAGATATTGTATGTGAAAAATACTTCCAACTCTTCTACCCTCCACAACTAAATAGCAGAAGATGTTCATCTTTGTTCACATCTGCTCATAACTTGGACTTGTTATTTATAAATAATCATCAAATTAAGTAATGACAAATGTCATGGTTTGTGTTATGAAGCTTTAATAGTTCACATTTTAGCAAGTGAATGCTGTATACACGTGGCGTGTTGTTCTCTTTCTTTTTCTCTTATACAGTTCCCAGGTGTTAACCCTGTTTCCTGAAAATAACTTAATAAGGAGCTATTGTGAACTGTTTTTATTACGGAGACTTTGTTATCTTTGCAAAACTTACCTTAAAGTACCGTCATCAATGATGAAAACTAGGCCATACTTATCTAAATCACAAAGAGTGTTTTTGGAACATTGCATCTTTGATTTTAATCGGACTTTGTGGTTCATTAGCACATTTTCAAGATTGGATGATCTTCTAAGTGTTTTCTCAGGATTAGGAAGCAGGGTTGCCCTGTACATGTCAGGAATTTGCATTGTTCATAAACCCTAGAAGTTGGTGTTAAGTGAAATGTAGGCAACATCTGGAATGCTGCATCTCATTCAGACAGAGGCATAATATTGTAATCTCCATGTCAAATTCTTCATTCTGCCCAGTTCTTCCCTGTCACTAAGCTCCTCCACCTGTCAGGAATTCCTGATAGGGGAGAGAAAATATATTGGCTTTTTCCTTAAATAACAAATCTTCTGGATTGCAATGTGAAGGCTTAGAAGTCATATTCTTAGCATCAACTTCAGTTCTTTCACACTAGGTTGGGGAAAAACCTAAACCAAGAGTGGGAGAACATAGTATTTTGTGTGTGTGATTTATATTCTCCATTAAATTTAGAAATTAGCCAGCCCAAACACATCTGTTTCAAACCCCCAAACCCCACCCGGTTTCAGTTTCAGCCAGGTTCATGGACCAAAACAGAACAGGCATGTAAATGAACCTGACCAAGACATCCTGGTGGCATCCCCCATTGGCAACTGATCATGATGGTAAATGAAGGATTATTGATCAAGTCCTCCTTTAGCTCAAACTGGAAAGAGCGTCACTAGAATCCTCTGTGTAATGAAATGGAGAAGAGTCATGTAGTTGCAATTTTTCTTCTTAAAGGCAAATGAGAAAGTTGAAAAGAATTTAGAGCCAATAAATATTTCCAAAATTTTGTTGTGGATTTTTCTTGTGTTTAGTTGAAACAACAGATAGGCTTTTAAGATGAATTTCATCTAAAAATCATTTTTAAAATTTTCATAGCAGTCAGTTACTCCTATTAATTCCCTTTCATTTAAGATTTTTCACATATAAATATCCTGCATTTCATAGCCTGATCACATGCTATTTTCTTTATGTTGCATCTCTATTCTTTAACTTAAATAGTTATAGGATAAAACACAAAGGCTTTAGTTCCAGCATTCTTTGCCCTCTAAAATCCAGCAGAGGTTGAATATCAGTGGTCCACGTACTGGATATGACTCAATATGACTCAAAGAATTTTTATGTGTCCAGTGGAGTTTTGACCAACATTGTTATATGCTTTGTCATAAGAATTAATTTCTAGTTTGTATATATATAAATCCAGATTAATGGTGTTATTGTAATAAATGGGATAGTCTGGCAATACCAGGGCAGAGTTCACTGTGGAATTGGCTGGAGCTTAGTGATATCTTCCTTTTCTCTGAGCTTGGGCGTAGTTTCCTCCATTCCCTCTCGTTATATGCCCAGTCCACTTCACTCACTTCATTTACCTGCCTGAATTCTGTAGGTGTTTGAATTCACCCAAACATGAAAAATTAGAAACTTTTTTTCCCTGAAGTGGGCCATAAAGTACCTTCTACTCCATCTAACATGATGCTTTCACAATCACACAGACGTGCCAGGATCCCTTTAGGTCTTGTCTGTGCTGTACCTGCCATTTTGAATAGCCTTGCCCCTTATCTCTCACATCAGATTTTATCCATCTTTCAAGAAACAGTGCATGTTCTCTGCCTTCTTGAAACCTCTCTTTCCCCCCTCTGGCAACAGTGAATTCTTTGGTCTTACGTCCTATAGATTTTAAAGGACTTGTCACTCGGTTACATCATTTCAGACACCTGTATGCTATGATGAACTCTTTAGATATACTAATATAGAAACGACTTTTCTTTCAAAATAGAGTGCAAGCTATAAGAGAAAAGGAAACTTGCATTATTTCTCTTTACATCTCTCCCAGAGCCTACCATAGTGTCTTACATGTGCCAAATTAAAACAAAACAACTCTTGAATCAAGTCTATATGCCTGTGTTAACTCTATTCTAGCAGTGAAATGCCATTTCTTCTCTTCTGCCCCTCTAAAATTATAATTATTTTTCAACACTTTCTCAAATGCCACCACCTTTGCAAAGGAGCTTCTGATTCCCTTTCTGTTGGAATTAATTGCTCCATTATCTGTGGTACCAGGGATGAGCTTGTCCTCTAGTTAATGCTTATTTCACTTTGCCTTATATCGTAATCAGCCATTTACATACAAGTTTCTCCCACCAGATTGTAACATCCTTAAAGGGACACATCACTCTTTATTTAATTTTATATTTGCCAGTAGCATTTTACACATAATAGCAGTGCCCAAGTTTTTCTCCCCTTTAAATTTAAAATTCACTACAAGATTATACTGTGACATATTCTAA